TGTCATGGGAATGTTTGTGGGGAGCTGAGAGAGAGGACTCGGCTGAGAGATGGGGAGGTTGTGCATGTGAGCAGCTCGCTATGCAAGAGGACATTTTTATATCTACGCTACCTGGATTTCTGGGGCCTCCCCCACACCAGGCCTTCCGACGTGAGCCTCAGAGCGTGCCCACATCATGGTCCCTCGGGGGGGCGGGGCTTCTTAGACATGCAGATTCCTCGGGCTCCAAACGCCTTCCTCTGAGTCAAACCCTGTGGGGTGTTGCTCTGGGAATCTGAATTTTACATTTCCCCAGGTGAAACTTAATGACATCAGATGTTCCTCTGTCTGAAGGGCCCGCAGGGGCAAGGTAAGGGGTGGTGGGCCAGGCAGTGGCCCAGGCATTGGTCTAAGTGGCACAAAAACGTGGGGAGTGGTACAGTATGACTAGCAGTGTGAGAACGTGGGTAAAGGGGCGCAGCGGAGTGGGTCAGTACAGGGCTTTGGAGTGAGTCCACCTGGGTTCGAATCCACCCTCTACTGTTCACAAGCCGGCCACGGGTCCTCATCCGAACAGTGGGGCAGATCATAGTAGCGCTTCCTGATGGGGTTATCATGAGGATTCAGTGAGTTCATATCTGAGCAGAGCAGGGCACGGGCGACCAGAACCACAAGGTGGAAGAGGCTGGGACTCCAAGTGTAGAGAAAAGCCATCAGACTATTTTTGGACCATGAGAATCAACTTTTATTGTGTTCAGGCACTGGATGTGGGGATGGTTTGTTGCGTAGCGTCGACCTTTGCTACCAATACGAGGCTGTTCACAAGTGCTCCGCTGGCTGCGGGGGTTCAAGCGGTAGGCGAGGGTGCTCTGCAGAGGGCAAGGGCGACGGAATCCAGTCTTCGGGTTGGTTGCGAGTTTCTACAGCGACACACCAAGTTCTCTCGGGAGGAGTTACCCATGTGGTTGGAAGGAACACTTAGACAGAGGGCTGTTCCCGCTCAGACTCGGTTCCTAGGAGTTGCTCTTTCCCTGGAGGCTAAATGAGTTTCTCTCCATGAGCCTATAGCTTGACTTGCGGCATATTGGCCAACACAGAGAGAGAGTCAGTCCTGTTTCTCCACCGGAGGAAATTTTGGTGGGGGTGGAATGAGCAGAGGGACCGTGGAGCCAGCTGGTGTCCTGTGAAACACCCCAAGTCACAACATAAACAAGGGAAACTTTCATACTAAAATAATCATGTAGAGTCGAATACGAACGGTCACGTGGATTTTAAGGTGGAACTGGAAATTTCAAGAAAGATTCCTCACAAGAAGCCTTCCTGAAGAAGGCCTCCCGTTGCCTGGAGTGAGCACCCCCATTTCACAGGTGAAGAAATGGGGGCCACAGAGGGACGGATAATCAGACCGAGATCGAGTAGCGAGCAGCTGCACCGCAGCCAGGCGATCTTGTTTCAGAGCCGGAACGCTGACCTCCAGGCTATATTGCACACTCCTTTGCACATGTTAGTGTGCGCACTATCAGTATTAGGGCCCAGAGTGACAGGGGTGGCGGTGTCCCTTCCCTGGCCCCCTTCCCCTCTGAGGGGCTTCACTGTGTTTAGCTGCAGACTCCAGCCGCAGTGGCCCAGGGCTGGCATCATGGGGACGCTTTATGCCCATCTGTCCCCTCTCTTCTTTAAAATTTCAAGTGTAAGGGCCAAAGCCATCTGTCCCCTTTTCCAGCAGAGTCCGGCTCCCCTTACTGTAACTTCCCGGGTGCTGCGGTGCTTGAAGATGGTTGCCCCCGTATAAAAACCCAAATCAATAAGGGACCTTTAGGTGAAAAAATTAATCATACCACAAAAGGGCTTGCCGAACATCTCTGGTAAGGTTAAGTGTTTGTTTACAGATCATTAATTACATAATTAATTTCTTTTTTCCCAACATAAGCCTCCCAGGGAAAAACAGCATCTGTCTTGTCACGTCTGTGCTCCCAACGTTCAGCACTGGACGTGGCCTGTGGTCATGCTCAACAAATATTTGTTCATTAAATGAAGCGTTCCCTCCCCCCACCCCGACGCCGTTTGTCTTAGCCTGGACTGCGGGAAAGCTGCTCTGTGTCAAGAAGAGCCAGGGAGGGATCTGGGGGCGGGAGGAGGGGGGAAGGCGCACACAGCCACGGGGCCTGCTCCTGAGCGGGCCACCAGTTGGTGTCAAGGGCCACTGCTGAATCTTGAGGTGTCCTCTGCCAGAAGTCTGCCGAAGACACTTCTGGGAGGGGTAGTGAGGAGGAAGGGAAAAGAGTTCAGCGTTTGGCTTTCAGCTTGAAGCGGCCAAGTGTCCCTCCTCCCTGCCACCCACCAGGGGCTTTAACTTTTTACACATCTGGATGGCCCTGGGGTGGACGCAGAGCGTCCCTGCATGCCTCATACCTCAGCGGCTGCCGAGAAGCCCCAGGATAGGGACATGGGTGGGGCAATGAGGCTGTACCCTGTCGAAGCTGGTTGGAGTCCAGGCGGAGCTGGCCCTGGTGGGGAGGAGGAAGCAGTCCGAGGCCCCAGAGACACGTGGGACAGGGTGAATCCAAGGAGACACATTGGAGGGTCTGAGGCACCGTCTGAGAGGGTTTGTTTCTCCCATCTCTGCACCTGCAGGACTGAGCACGGCTGGGCCCGCCCTGATCCTTGAGTGTCTGGAAACCTGATCCGCCCTGCATTTATGTTGCCAGGCCCTCTTCCCTGGGCCCCTGGGATGTTTAGAGAGAGAATCCCCACTCCCAAATCCTGCTGCCACTGCTGCAGGGCTCCGCCCCTGCCGGCCCCCTCCTCCAGGAGCTCTTCCTGCCCACCTCTGCTCCTTCCCCAGGCTCCCTCCCTCAACTCCCAAACCTTGGTTCTGCTTCTTGGGTACCGAAGTTTAAGCTGTTTAACTGGAGGCATAGATGCATTTGACTTGTATGGCAGAACCAGTGCTCTGAAACGCAGTAAATAAAATTATACAAGAGAACAAGGTCCGTAACCAACTGCTGCTCTTTCTACTTGAAGAGGCTCACGTAGCAGTCATCAGACTGCTCTCAGCCAGGTCGAGGGCTACCCATCACCCTGCACTAAAGGCTGTCATGGACGCACGGGGTCTTACCAAGGCAGGGCAAGGATAGACAGCAAATGAGGATGCCTTCGGCTGGAGCCAGAGAGGTTTGGGGTTGGGAGAGGGTGGTGCCTGATCCTGGGCAGAACTTCTCTACACCTGGGTCATGATCTCTCCCAACGCTTTTATTAAAAATGCAGTGCATCAGTTCGGGGTGCTCTTGGCTGCAAGTCCCCAAAACCCCAATTCAAACCAGCTTAAACAAGAATAATATTGCTCCTGTAACTTGAAGAGTAGAGGTAGGAGAGATTTCGGGCCTGGCTGAGTCACTGCTTCATGACACTGTCATCAGAGCCACAGCGTCCTTCTGTTCCCCACCCCGCTGTCTACCCTTTCAGCTTTGTCCTAAATTGACTCGCATTTGCCATCAGAAGGTGGGGCCACACACTTCCTGTCTAGCAGAGGAGAAAATCTCTTTCTACGACCATGGAATGTGAGTCCTCTCATTCCGTCTGGGCTGGCCTCCTCAGGACAGGTGCCAACCCCTGGGCCAGAAGCATTCCCCAGGAGAGTGCCAAGAACTGATAGGATGAGACCAAAGAGAAGCCCCCATTTGTTCAGGAGTGGAACCCCGAAAACCTGGAGGGAATGCAGAGGGGAGAAGGGATGAGTATTGGTAGACTCTCCAGAAAAGCCCAGCCTCTTCCTGTGGCTCTGGAGGTCACGCGGGGCACACAGAGTGAGGCTGACCGAGTAGGAGGCACATGGAGCCAGGCTTTGCAGAGACTTGCGGCAACACGGGGTCAACCTTGCTGAGAACTGAGCTCGAGGAGTATTTCTCCATTAAAAATGCAAAACTGGCCACTGTTTTGGTCAAACTGGGAATTCATCAACATGGCCCTTTCTTGGAATGGCTTAGCTGGGATGAAACCAAACGTAAACCCAGAATGGTTCCCTAAACAGTCAAACAGCCTTAGTCCTGGGCCCCCGTAAGGGACAGAACAGGATGACTCTGAGAAGGGGCTGTGTGGTCCAGCAGCCTGTGAAAAGCTGGGCACTTCCGTGTTGATGACCGGGGGGGAGCAGCAGGGCCCAAGCCCCAGGGTGCTGTGATGCTACTTGAAGACCAATATGCTAGACAAGCAGGGACTCTTTTGTTTGAGAAGCAGCTACATGGCCCTGAAAAATGATACAAATTTTAAGCCAAAATACCTGGAGGCTCCGTTATCTCCCATTTGCCAGTGGTGTGACCTTGAACTTCCTTGAGCCTCCATCTCCTCATTGAAAAATAGTGTAATAAATGTAACGTGGGCTTGGATGAAATACTGGAGGTAGACACCACTTTGTGGAGGACACAAAGACAGGACATCAGTCATCGCTCTGTATGTCTCCCTCTGGGGCCCTTGGCTCTGTGTGTTAGGAGTGCAGACTTCCTCTCCACCCCTCCTTCAGGGTCTAGCTCAGGCTCTGGCTCCCCCCTGAACCCCCCCTGACCTCTCGGACTCCTCTGCTTGGGTCCCTGCAGGTACTGTCTGCTCCCCCATTGGTCATTCACAGGGACCGCCTGTTGCCCGCTTCCACACTGAGGTCCTGAACTGCCGGATACACCTGTCACTCACTCTCTTGTTTGTGATGGTCTCCTCAACTCACCTGCACCTGCAGATAAAGAACTGTGTCTCCCACCCCATTCTACCTTTAAGGAGCTCCTTAGAATGTGGGAGTGGAACACACCTTGAAGTCCCCTGTCACTCCAGGTGACAACTCAGAGAGGTGAAATGACCTGCTGAAAGTCACTCAGGTGGACTTGGGGGTGATGTTTTGCCTCCCCAGGGCAGAGGGGAACCCCAGCCTTCTCTCTGCCCCCCAGGAAGGGCCGGGTCATTGCTCCTCCCCCCTGTGGGTGGAGACAGGCGGGAGGTCCTCTGGAGGACTAACCAGAGTGGTCTGTTTGCAGTTCAACGTTAAAAAATCCACGGAGCCCGTGCAGCCCCGAGCCCTCCTCAAGTTCCCAGACATCTACGGGCCGAGGCCAGCTGTGACGGCCCCGGAAGTCGTCAACTATGCGGACTACACGCTGAGGAGCACAGAGGAGCCAGCTGCATCTGCCAGCCCCTGGGCCCCGAAGGACAGCCGCCTCAAGAGGCAGGTCACAGAGGAGCTGTTCATCCTTCCTCAGAATGGTAGGGGTCCCCCGCCCCTCACTCGCCCTCGAGCAACACTCGGAGGCTTGTCAGTGTCTGTGCGGATGCTGGGCGTGGCCAGGCCCTGAGTCTGTGACCTTTGACACAGGACAGGTGGGTGGGCACAGTGTCTCGGTGTTGCTGTCTTTTATTTCTGCTACCATGTTGCCACGTGGCTTCTCTCTCAGGCCCCTGGCTTTTTACTAGGAAATAGGGAGTCTCTTTCAAGTCACGTGTACAGCTAGTAAGAGGGGATAAAGAGTCATGGTTAAAACCCTGGGTTCAGAGTTGTGAGTTCAATTCTCTGCCCTCTGACATACTTGTTGTGCGGCCTTGGTGATGTTGCTCATTTCTTTGGGCTTCAGTTTCCTCATCTATAAGGTGAGTTCATATTATTACCTGCTTGGTAAAGTTGTTGTAAAGTGTAAATAAAATAATGCACATAGCCCTGGCTGGTGTGGCTCAATGGACTGAGTGCCGGCCTGTAAACTGAAAGGTCACTGGTTTGATTCCCAGTCAGGGCACATGTCTGGGTTGTGGGCCAGGTCCCCACGGAGGGGCACGGAAGAGGCAACTGATGGATGTGTCTCTTCCATGTCGGTTTCCCTTCCTCTCCTTCACCTTCCCTTCCCCTCTCTCTAAAAGTAAAGAAATAAAATCCTTAAAAAATAATGCATATAAAGTACTTAGCTCAGGGCCTGGCACCAGAATATATCGTTGCTCTTGTTGCTGTTTCTATCCCCCTCATCAGCATCAACATCAAGAGTGCGGCTCCTTTAGGGGCGGTGCTAGGCTGGGCGCTGGGCCGGAGGTGCGAGGCAGAGGCGGTCCTTACCTCGAAGGAGCACGCGGGCTTTTGTAAGGAGGTAGAAACTGCAGCTGGGAGAATGGATTGTGTCGTTTGGGATTGTGTTTCCTGTGGTTGGGGACAGAGGTGGAGACAGGGAGAGCAGAAGCAGCATAACCAGCTTTGACATTGACCCCACTCCTGACCCATGTCCTGGACTGTGTCCAATGGTACCCCATGCTGCCCAGTCAACAAGGGCCCCTCCTGCCTGGCTCAGACCCACAGCGATTAGCCTGGCGCTTCTGCAAGAACAAACTCACACAGTGCCTACGGCATGAATGAATCCTGGTTGGCTTCTAGCCTTCAGGTTTGCCAGCCCACATTTTAAATAAATTTAAACTACATCCGCTGAGAACTTGTGAAACAATTTGCTTGAGAACCCTTGGGGTGCTAATTCTAATCATTTTCATGGCCCTGGCCCATGTGGGTCAGTTGTATGGAGCATTGTCTCATAACAGAAGGGTTGCAGGTTCGATTCCCAGTCAGGGCACATACCTAGGTGGCGGGTTTGATCCCCAGTCTGGGTGCATTTGGGAAGCAACCAATGGATGCTTCTCTCTTACATTAATACTTCTCTCTCTCCCTTCCTCTCTCTTTAAAAGCAATGAAAAAAATGTCCTCAGGTGAGGATTTTTTAAAAAATCGTAATCATGAGGGGCTCCCTTTTCTTGGAGCCCCAGGTTTCTCAAGGCTTGGAAGCCAGGACTGGACACTCTTAACAAAAAGAGCAGGAGCACAGATCACACTCTGGAGCTTTGAAAAATTCAGAACACGTTAGCTTGCCTTCTCCGTTTCATGCTCCCTCGTTCCTGTCCGCATCCATAAGACAACCACAAAGTTCCTTTCCCACAAAAGCCTACCGAGAGTTGACTGGCTCAGCAGGCACCGGCCAGAGGGGAGGGACCGCGGGGGACGAGCGCGCCAGGTGCAGCCGACACTGCTCCCGGAGGTGCCCCGCGTGGCCCGCTCCCACAGCGGCGCCCCTCATCTGCTCCTCTGTAGACTCGGTTGGTTCTTCCCGTTTTCTTTCGTGTTGGTTTCAGGTGTACAGCTCGAATTCCTGATTCTTAACGCTGAACCCACGGAGCCGTGCTAGCTATGGCTTGCCTTTGGTTTGGTTTTGATTTTGGAGCCTGAGGTGGCCTGACCGTGCAGAGTGCTAGGCGCCCGACGAGCCCCTTCCGACACCGGCCTGGCGGCGGTTGTCCCTGTGGTGTCCTTGGAAGCCGCCCGGGTCCCTGTGTATGTGTGTCTCACGTTACACATCGCTCACTCTCTGGCCCATTTGTTCCTCGTTTAGCTGCACCAGAGATATTTTTCAGTACATGCAGGAACCCAATAATGAACCATTTTGGAAATTAAATACTCCTTTATATTTCTGCCCTCGAAATTAGTTCTGAAAATCAAAATTTTTTAAATTCTAATTTGCTTAAAGTGGAGTCTATGGCAGCTGCTGGATCCTTTAATTCTTGTATTATATTTGAATAATGAGAATCTTTCAGATGTTTGGCTCCTGTTCAAGTGAGGGGCAGGGCAAGAAATATTTCTGGTTTTAGGAACTTCTGAATTAAAGATAAGGTTGGTCCATTCATTCAGCAAGTATTTATTGAACGTGCACAAAATATCAAATCCACTGTCCCTGACCTTGCCCCCAGCATCTCCTGGCTCATTCTTTGACATATCTGTGCGGCCATGAACTCCTGGGGAGCCGGCTAGACTCTGGGAGAGGCAGAGCTGAAGATGGGCTGCGGATGGTTTGTCTGAAATGGGGTGACCGGGACCACACAAGCGGTGGCACTTTTTGTTACTGAAAGCTCGGGATAGGCCAGGCCTTGGGCTAAGTACTTCCCCCGCTTTATTTTATTTAATGCACATGTTAACTCGGGGAAGAAAGAGCTGTTATCATTCCCATTGTAAAGATAAAGGGACTGAGATTTGAAGAAATAAAGTAACTTGTTCAAGGTCACATAACTATTCTGTAACAGCTCATGTCTGATACCAAAACCCATGTCTTGACTTCTGGGCTGTGATGGTCTCTTGAAATCCAAGACTCCAGGCCTCAGCAGCTTCCACCATGATTTTGCACCTGCCCAGGAAGCTTTGGGTTTGGGTTGGTGGTGTAGATGGCAGAGATGGGACGGGTGTGACCTGGAAAGCAGGGCCCCAGTGTGGGCGGCATTGATGGCTTTACCTTCTCAACAGGTGTGGTGGAGGATGTCTGTGTCATGGAGACCTGGAACCCAGAGAAGGTCGCCAGCTGGAACCAAGCCCCCAAACTCCACTACTGCCTGGAGTATGACCAGCAGAAAGCAGAACTGTTTGTCACTCGCTTGGAAGGTACGCTTGCAGTTGACTCCCAGGGACTTCCGTGTGTCTGTCTCCCCCGGACGAGCTGTGCAGGAGTGATGGGAGCATCTGTAGCGGGGGGCCTGGGGCTGGATTCACACTCTGCAACAAATACACCCTGAAACGTGTGATGCTCAGACACATGGGGGTTTTCTCTCTCTCTCATGTAACAGTCCGTGTGGAGATTCCTGGTGGGCAGACGTCTTTCCTCCAAATGGTGATTCAGGGACCGGGCTCCTTCCATCTGTGGCTTTGCAGTCCTCTCAGGCCTCCTCATCATCTGTGTCTAGCAGGTGGAGGGAGGGGGAGAATGGGGAGAGGATGCACCCACTCCTTAAAAACTACTTGCCTGTGGTATGAATCACTCTTGCTCACATTGCATGGGCTGGAAGTCAGTCACGTGGCCACTGACTGCAAAGGAGTCTGGGAAATGTGGCCCAGTGGGTGCCCAGCAAAAGAAAGATGGGTCTTTGCTGAACAGCTAGTCTTCTCTGCCATAGGTGCCTTTGACATTGTACAGGGCTTTCTGCTGCACACGGGGCATTCTGAGCGGTTGGCATGCCTCAAAGCAAGTAGTCTTCCCGAAGGGTTAGGGCATCCCTGGCCCCTCTACCCTGACAATTCACGTTACCATCAGCAAACCAAGCTAAGACTTCACAAAGGAATCAGGCCTAACAAAGGCTACTCCATGGCTCCTGGAAGCCATCGGCAGGAAAAATAGGACTTTCATATTTAATTTAATTTTTTTCAGACAATGTCTTTTCTTTTTATTTTTTTAAAGAGGGTTTTTTAAAGCATTTTTGTATACTCTTTTATATTTGGTCTTTACAATGGTCCCATTTTGCAGATTAGGGAACTGAGGGCTAGCAAGGTCAGGGGACTTGTCTAAGATCACTCCGACTCACTGGTACCAGCCAGGACCCCGCCCAGTGCCCTTGGAGCACCACGTAGAGTTCTTTCTATCAGGACTCCTGGCCTCGGTTCTCCTCTCCAGGGGGACATCGGCTACCTCGACTCATGGCAGCTTTCAGGACCAGCCCCACAAGCACCGCAAGTGCAAATGTGCACACTGTGGAGCATTGAAAAACGCCAAGGCTCAGAATATAAGACAACATTCATGAGGTAGCAGCCCAGTGAGTCACGCCACAAGTGGTTGTGTGGCAAATACCTAAAGTACAGAACAAATGACTTGTGCCAGCAACACAACTAAATGTCACCAGCAGTGTCTGGGCTCTGGCACCTTGGGGGAACCCCAGAGTCCTGAGGTGGGAAGAGCCCTGGGAAGCACCAAGTCTTGTGCCTGCGCTCCAAGGAAGCCAGCCTGTGTTGGCACTGGCCCCTCAGATAAGAGAGTCACCTCCCGCTGTCTCTCTGAAAGGTAATTCTACAAGGCCAAGGTGGTCAGCCCAGGGGTTGTCCACACACCCGTGGTTATGACGGCCAAGCCAGCTTCTGCAGCTCAGAGCAGGGCCATGCTCCTCCCCTCCCTGGGTCCTCAAGAAGTTCCATGTTGGTGTTGCTTTGTCCCTGGCTGCAGCTGTGACCAGTGACCACGACGGAGGCTGTGACTGCTATGTCCAAGGCAGCGTGGCCACCAGGACGGGCTGCGTGGAGGCCCAGACGGCCCTGAAGAAGCGGGAGCTGCACACCACCTGGGAGGAAGGCCTGGCGCTCCCCCTGGCCGAGGAGGAGCTCCCCACGGCCACCCTGACGCTGACCCTGAGGACCTGTGACCGCTTCTCCCGCCACAGTGTGGCTGGGGAGCTTCGCCTGGGCCTGGATGGTGTGTCTGTGCCTCTGGGGACCGCCCAGTGGGGGGAGCTGAAGACTTCAAGTAAGGTAAGGCTACCTCTGTCCCGGGAAGATGAAACCTGGCAGTGGAGCATGGAACAAGCTTTAGAGAATCTCCCAGCTCAGGTGTGTGAATGTGTGTATATATAAGGAAGGCTGGAATCTTAACAGAGTGGAGGGCTGGAGCAGACCCATAGCCCAGGATTCGGGGTTCCTGGCATCTAGTTTTGCTTCTAGCTTGCCTTGCAAAGACCTCCCCTGCCATCATGTTAAGAGTGTGTCGGGTCTGGTGCTGGCAGTATTATATCCTCATTTACATCCATTTCTACTTCCTTTGTACCCGCCATGTGCCAGGCACTGCCGGGGAGATGAGCACCAGGTGGTGCTGGGACTCCCCACTCACGGACAAGGGGACTGAGACTTAGAGTAGCTCAGTGGCCCGTGCAGGGTCGCCCATCTGGGTCATGGCAAGCTCTGCCTTGAGGCCAGGTTGGCCTCACTATAAATCTCCTGCCATCCCCTCCTCACGACGCCCTGGAGGTGCCAGACTGCGTGAGCACCTCCCCTGGCAGCGGGCACCTCCCCCGGTGGCCCCTGCAGGAGGGGGGTACACTTTCACTCCCCACCTGCATCCCTTTTTGCTATAATCTCTTTCTTGCCTTATTTGTCTCTTTTTCCAAGACTCAGGAAATTGGTAAACACTGACAGCCACTGTCAGCTGGAGCTAGGCTGTTCCAAAGCACACTCTCTAATTAATGTGCGGTTTGGGATTCATGTGGAATCGTAGCTGGGGCCCTGGGAAGGAGAATGAACACTTTGGCTTATTCATCTGGTAAAACAGCTTTCTCCCGAGATGGAGGGGATCCCCCAGGGCCCTGGGGACTTGGTGACACCCCTAATAGGCTGAACTTCAGCCTATCTGAGAAGTCTCAGGCACCAAAGCTGCTTCTATCCTTCCCCCCTAAGAGTAAAAACCACACGGACCTTGGTGACACCACATGGACCTTGCCGGCTTTCTGCGGTGCACCAGGCACCGTTCTGGAGCTAAGGACACAGCAGTCGATAAGACAAAGCCCTACATCTATGGCTCAGCCGCTCCAATAACCGTCACACATGTAGTTGCCACTGCGGCACAAATGCATTCTCTCACCCACTTGGACTGCTGGCCTATTTCCCACAAATGTTCATGACCTCAGAGGGCAGCCTGGAGTCAGAGGTAGGAGGCGGCACTCAGGTGGCAGGAGAAAGCCCAGATCTCAGCTGGAGGGCGCAGGCCTGTGTGAACCGGTGGGTGGAGACTTCTCTGCAGACCAGAACGGGTTAACAAAGGTGCCAGCGGTGCCCCAGTTCTCACCGGAAGACACTCAGCCAAAGTGGCATGTGCGTCACCAGGCACCATACAGTGACCCATTCCAAGGGCAGCTTGCATGATTCACTGAGAGCTTAAGAAAAAGGTTGGCGGGGGGGGGGGGGGACAGGAAAAAACAGGGAGAAGATGAGGAAGCAAGAGGGTGAAAGACATGCTTTGTTTTATTCAGCTTTGCTTTATTATACTCCACTGATACTGCGTGGTTTATAAACTGAAGGCAAGACCGTCCACCTGCAGAAGACTGTGACTCACTTTATTGCAATACTCACCCCATCCTGGCGATCCGCAGTCCAGCCCCAGCATCTCCCGGGACATGCCTGTATTTTTGTCGGCAGGCACGCACTTAAAGCAGCAGAGCCCAGGGGCAGATGCTGTTAAGCCCTCCAGCTGTGCTGCAGCCACTGGGCTTGTCTGGGACCCTGGAACCCTCCACAGAGGTGACGAGCCCTTAATGCACTGACAGGTCTGGGCTCTTTGCACCTGGTCCGGCGGGGAGTGGAGCGCCGAAATCTGCTCGCCTTGTGGCTACTGCCCAGGCCAACTGTGGACCTCCAATGAGTGCCCTTGAATCAGGAGGCGGGTGCCCATCCAGCTCTGCTGCCACCCCCTGGGCACCTGGACAAGTCCCTGGGCCTCAGTCCCCTTTCTGAAGTGAGAGTCCGCAGCGACTCCAGGGACACTGAAGAGCACTGGGGTCAGGACTTGGGCTTTGCTGTCACACCAGACGCCCGTTCAAGGCTCAGTCTGCCGTCTGTGTCTACGTGACCTCAAGCAGTGACGTGCCCTGAGTAGCATCAGGGTCTTACGCCTCAAATGGGAGTGAAGTCAGTATTGCTCTTTGGGTTGTCACCAAGGTTAAATGGGACGTCTCACCCCTCTCTCACAAATGTTTATTGTGTGTCAACTGTGTGGCAGCTGCCGGTTGCGGCTTTGTGGAGTGTACAGCCCAGGGTGATAGATAACGTAGCTGCGCCCTGCACACAGTGCTGTGTGATCAATGTCAGCTGCTCTTGTTCACGTCCTCACCAATGTTCCCGGCAGCTCCCAAATTGTTTCATCATATCACTAGTCACTTAGGGCTCGCTAGATGTCAGGGTCGTGTTGAAGATGTTTTTCCTGCATGAAAGGCAGAGGGCTGGCAGCCCCACCCCTGAGCCCAGGCTGCCCCCATCCACCCAGAAACGATGTTCCCCCTTCATCCCAAGTAGTAGTGATGGCTCTTCCCTGATAGCTAATGGTGATACAGCGAACAGTTTCACAGAGCTTAGTGCGTCAGGCACTGTTCTAAGCCATCAAATATTGTCATTTAACTTCTATCACCCCATTGGTTGATGTTATTGTTTCCATTTTACAGATGAGGAAATAGAGGCTTGGGAAAGTTAAGTAACTTGCCCGAGGTCACACAGCCAACAATTGGTAGGATTGGAACTCGGACCCAGACGGTCTGGTTCTAGACTCCATACCCTCAACACCACCTTTGGACTGTGACTGACTTCTGCCTTCTGTAGTGGCTCTTTTGGTCACATTTGTCCCTCAGTGGATTTGTTGAAATTCCCAACAAATTCTTACGGGAATTTCAGTGCAGACGCTCTGTAAACCTGCAGATGGACAGATGCGCTGGATGCCTCTCAGACGGCTCCGCGTGTCCTGCAGTGTGTGGTTATTGCCTATGTTCTCCGGTGCGTCACCTAACGCCGTGTGCCTGGCTTCTTGTTGACATAGCTGGCCGTTGTGTTGACAAAGCAAGGCCCTGCTCAGCGTCAGTACATGACATTATCGACTTTCTCAGCACTGCAGGGGCCAGAAGGAATGATCTTTTCTGAGTAATGAATCACAGTTCCCCTGTGCCCCAGGAAGCTGAGGGGCGAAAGCGGTGATTCCCCAGCTGTGCTCCCCAGAACCCTAGCATTCTGCAAAGATGCCCTAGGGGCTTGGGGCAGGGGCAAGTGAAGGGCGAGAGGGGGTCCCCCACCTCCTGAGTGGCATCGGTTTGATCTGCTTTATATGCTGGGTTTGAATATAGGGCATTTGGAAAATCACATTGTGTGACAAACAAAATCAACTCTTATTGAAATAGGGCCACATAGAATTCCTTTGCGCCCCCTTCCCTTCTGCAAAGGTGGAGAGCTAGTGTTGATGGGTAAATGGTCTCCAGGATGCCAGCTGGGCGTAAGCAGTGTGACCCTGGCCTTGGCCTCAGCCTCAGATGCTGGGGCAGAAGCCACTCTCCGTGCAGCTGTCTCTTCATTCTCCCGCCTGTTTCAGGAGCCCTCGGCCGGCACTGGAGAGGTCCTTCTCTCCATCAGCTACCTCCCGGCAGCCAACCGCCTCCTGGTCGTGCTGATCAAGGCCAAGAACCTCCACTCTAGCCAGTCCAAGGAGCTCCTGGGGAAGGGTGAGTGAGGGGTTAGGGGAGGGAACCAGGGCCCCCCTGGCCTCTGGGAGTGTGTGCAGAGGGAGGGGCACCTGGAAGACAACAGGGACAGGTGAGCAGGGAGGTGGGACATGAGTCCATTTGTGGAGTTGACCTCATCTGTGTCCTTCACCCCAAGCTCACAAATTCATTTTTAAAGGGCACACTCTCTTCTTTAAGTTCACAACCACGTACTCCTTGGCCAATCCTAGTCATCGGGGCCCAGGTGGGGCTCATACCTACTGGGGACTCCTGACCTTGGAGATCCACCACGAGAAGAACCGGTCTTACCCCTGGTCATATAAGCCAAGGGTCAGGTTGTAGCCATAAAGTGGAGTATGTGGGCTATAGTGGAAACTTGGCCCTGACCTTGTCACCCAGACCTGGCCGGGCCCACCTTATAGGCAGGTGTCGAGAAGCTCAGGCTCCCATTCTCCTGTCTCAGCTAAGCCATCCCTGTGCTCCCCACACCCACCCCAGTCTCTTCTCGCTTCTCAGCCTTTGCCAACCTGCCACCCCCACACCAGCTGAGTGTAGGTGACAGCAGAAGGTGTGTGGGCTCCCGGGCTGAGGCGGCCTGAAGCTTAGGGCGTCTGTGCCCCATATACCCAAATAAACATCTCTTCAACATTCTGGAAGCCTCAGTTTCTCCTCCTGGACACCTCAGCCCAGACTCCAAGTCAGGGGTTGCCGAGCAGGTTCTCTTGCCAGAGCAAGAAGCATCCCTGGTTAGCCGTGGGGACCAGGACCCGGAGCCCAGCACTCACAGCAGGATATAAATAGATATTTACAGCAGGATACAAATGAAGAAGTGTCCCTGTGTTCAGAATCTTTGAGAAAAACCTCGTGGGTGAATGAAATCAGAAGCGTTGGCCTTGCTGCCAGACTCCTGAGCCAAAAGTCAGAACCCACTGCCTCTTCCTCATTGGCTCCAGGCGGTTCTTTGCCTCCTGGTCCGTTTTAGTAGCTGCTGTCGGGACACTTATGGCATGGCACTTCGTCACTCCAATACCTGCTGAAATAACAAACTGCCCCCCCCGGCGGGGATAATTATAGCAATAAATGCAGAGAAACGGTTATTCTTACAGTAGCTTTGGGAACTTTGACTAATGAATCGTAATCTGGGTCCCGAGCCTTGTGATGGTGCCTGCGTCCCTGAAGGGAGGGGCAGACAGATTTCTGGGCGGGGGGCTCACAGCTCTCTCGGTGAAGTCCCCATGGGGGCCGAGGCAGCCTGCCCTCACCCTCCACATGAAGTCCGAGTCCTCAAGTGACACTTACAGAAGAGCAGAAGAGAAGAACGCATCCAGCCAGCAGGTGACTGATGAGCCTAATAACAGACAACAATGCTTGGATGGAGAACCAAGCACATGAAGACGTCAGATGGCTCAGTTTTTCTGGGCCGAGTTTGTAATCCAGCTGCAAGGCGTCTGAGCCATTGTCCTGGGCCTGGCTTTATGTGGGACATAGAGGCACTTAGCAAGCCTAATGGCAAAGGGTGGTTCTCTGGCTGTCCCCTAGCATGACCTATCATGGGTCACCCAAAGGCCAGCCTTGATGCCGTTGTCTGTTTTCCATACTAGAGTATCCATTCCATTAGGCAGGAGCTTTTGCTGCATTCCCATGTCTAGACCAGTATCTGCTATACCGTGGGCATTTAGTAATTGTTGAATGAATGCCTGACCCGTGGGGGGGGCACACAGAGATGGCGTCTCAGTGTGATCTTGAGCCAAAGCCTCTTTCTTTCTGTCCCTAAGAGAGAGCATTGTCCCCCGCCTTGCCACATCCCAGAAGTTCACTCTTGACCCTTCTCTCTGTCTTATTCCCCTCTGTCCCTCCCCAGATGTCTCTGTCAAGGTGACCTTAAAGCACCAAGCTCGAAAGCTGAAGAAGAAGCAGACGAAACGAGCCAAGCACAAGATCAATCCCGTGTGGAATGAGATGATCATGTTCGAGCTGCCCGATGACCTGCTGCAGGCCTCCAGTGTGGAGCTGGAGGTGCTGGGCCAGGAGGAGGAGGGGCCGAGCTGCGTGCTGGGCTGCTGCAGCCTGGGCTTGCATGCCTCAGGCTCCGAGCGCAGCCACTGGGAAGAGATGCTGAAAAACCCACGCCGACAGATCGCCATGTGGCACCAGCTGCACCTGTAGCCGGCTTCCTGGGTCACCTCTCTTCTTGGGCACAGCCCTGCCCCTTCAGTCTCAGCTGTCCTCTGCGACCTTCTCTTTGTGCCACATCCTCATTCTGACACCCAGGAGACAGATGCTTCTGCAAAGGCCAGGACACTAATCCTCTCTCTTCACACTCCCGTTTCTAAAACATGAGCAAGACACGGCAGGGCAGGGCAGGGCAGTGTGTGGACGTTTGGGTCACACTGAGCAATGCATTTTTGCTCATCTGTGTCACTGAAGAGACACTTATCAAATACAGCCCTTGTTCAGGTTTGCAGCCGGGGGTGGGGAGAGGTCAGTCCAGATGCAGAGAAAGCTGAATTTGAGGAGTAATGGGTGCAAAGAATGTGGCTTTTTAAAAGTGAGCATTTCAAAAAATGATAAAGAAAATAAAAGTATTCTGGATCAACGCATAGAATTAGAACATGTCAGGGCGGGTGAAATCCTGGGCAGAAGGAAGTCGGGCTCCGGCGCCCAGGAAGCAGCAGCCCAGCAGTCCGCGGGCCCTAGAGTGCGGAGACCTCACCAGCAGATGCCGGGGCCCACCTGCAGACGTTCCAAACCAGACCCCGGGAGCCTGGCTTTGGACGAACAAGCACATCCAGTTTGGGTGCAGAGGTTGGAGCGCTGCACTTGGAGAAATTCCCTCTACAACATTCCAGACAGGTTCCCAGGGTCCTTGTTGGGGTCCAACATCCTGGGGCAGCCAGTTCCAAGTCTGGACATCTCAGCCGTCAGTGTGAAATTTGGAAGCCTCTGTGTTTTTTTAATTTGATTATCTTAATTCTTAATATTTTCATCTGTGCTTTTCAGATCCTGCTCTTGGATTGAATTTGTACTTTTTATTGAAAACTTTCTTGTTTTATCTCAAAATCAGTTTATATTATATTTGGAGGGGACTTTCTTGACAACATTCAGGTGGGACCCCCCCATTAGTCATTGGGCGCTAGCTGTCACATCCACCAGCATCACCAAAGTGACCCTCTGAGAGGGACGCATCCCTTCCAGCAGGAAGAATTCAGTTGGGGAGGGGCACATATTAATTTAGTCCATTACATCTGGCTCTGTGGAGGTGGAGAAAGAAGATAACTTTAAGTAGGAAACAAAGACTTCTACAAATGTGCCTCCCGCTTCCATTTTCAGGGCCTATCACTATAAAATCAGGAAACAGCCAGCAGCTAGGTCTCACATTCCTACCTTATTATTCCAAATAGCTGTCCACAGGGGTAACCAAATTATGAGCCTTGTGGAGTGGGTAGAACATCTGCCCCTGAGCCGGACTCCTGGGCTCTCTTGTTGGCCACCCGATGAGCACGACTGACAACATGGCAGCTTGGTGTGAACTGCGTGGTAACTGAAAGAGGACTCAGAGCCCTGGGTGGTCTCTGGCTAAAACCAAACTCTGAGGCCACCAGACTGTCTTTAAGCTTTAAGCTGGCAGCTCACAATGCTGGGCAAGTGCAGAACCATCCCACCTATTTCCCGGGCCATGAATTCTGCATTTCGACTCCCTGATACTGATGTCCAAACTCTGGACCTTCTGATGTCACCCAAGTCCTGATCTAAAAGAGAATTCCTAGACAGGGTGGGTAAGGGCGATCCTTCAGCCTTCAGCAAGGCAAGTCATTTTGGGCTTCTCCCTGAGAATCTGAGCAGGGGCCTTATCACCCTTAGTTATAATTTTGCCTTTCTCTGCAGAAGTAGAAAAGCCTTAGAAACAACTTCTACCCCACACCCCCATTAAAGAAACAAAAAAAGTATCTAATCCCTCTTTAATGGGAAAATGTTACAGATCATTGGAAATCTTGATTGCTAAGGTTGACCACCACCTGCCAGGGGTTTTTTTTTTTAGGCAAAAAAATATTTGTTAGTGATTTCTTTTATCACATTTTTGAGACACCCTCCCCATCACTCTGCTCTCCCTTGTTTGGTTGGCATGACTAAAAGAAAACAAAATATTCCTTATGTAAGCTATACTCTCTTCTTGGTAATATCAGCTACTCGAATCTAGAAAAATCTGTATTCTAGGCTTAAAATCAGGAAACATGGTTCCACTTTCTCACGAATCTAAGCACTTGGCTTATACTTACACCAAAAGATGTTTGAGGTGGGCTGGGTAGGGTCTCTGGTCCCAGAAATACCAACTCCGCCCACGGTCATTCCTCCAGGAAGCATTCAGTTCTTTGGGTCTCTGAGGTTTCGTTTTCCAAAATCAATAAATTAAAGGTTGCCCCTAAGAAGAGTCCAATGCCACCACAGAACATCATACGTGTCAGCTGTCACCTCTCTTAGCAGGCATACAGATAGACAAGGTAGATTTTACAGGGGTGTTTGTTGTGTTCATTGAGCACCTGGAATAAAGCTGGCGCATGGGTGCTGGGCTAAATATTTGTTGAATGAATTAATGAATAAAGTATGGACAGGGGAGTAGACAGAAAAGGACACTGCAAGTGGTGTAAAAATCAGAGTCCTAGCTGACTTCTCAAGGGTGAAGCCATCGGAAATCTCAGTTGTCCTAGAAATTCATGGCTGTGAGTATCACCGTGCACCTAACGACCATTTGTAGCTCGTGGAAATGTCATTAACGATAGAAGAGAATATTGTCACTGTGCTTTTTCACCCAAACTTTGTCTTGGTGAATTTTATCTTACCCAGAGGTATCAGACTGACAAATCAAAAAACTTCAGTAATCTTTGCATCAGTTTACCTTGTCCAAGAAACAGTGGCAATTTGCAGAGTGTTTGGCCCTGTGTGAGCCCCTCTGATCTTTTTGGAAGGAACACCTTGTAACTTTGCCAGCGGGTATTTTCCAAGATGGGCATGAAGCAGAGGTGAAAATGGTGAGAAGCTTTCTCGGACTGGGCTGCTGCCCACAAGGCGTTCTGGTTCTTTCATAGGGACGGTGATGGGCACAAAGAATTGGGAGTGCACTTGCATTAATCTGTGAGTCTACTTCTTACATCAAACCAGTATCTATTTGTCGAGTACCTATTGATCAAGACCTTGCACGTGTCTGTCCATTTCAATTGGAGGTATGATTCTTGGTGTGGGTTGAGGGACAAATCGCCCCAAATGACGCCATCTAGGGAGCAAGGTGGAAGAACAGTTCTTCAAGGGCAATTCCTTTGGGATTTCGGAGTCCTGGGTGGCAGGGGGCTGGAGCCTAAGCCAAACTGAGGTGAGGCCCACCCAGAGCGCGATGCAGCCCCTGTGACTTGTTTCTGCCACCCGTGTTTCCTGTTGTCGATGCTACGTGTGTGTGTGTGTTTGCAGTTATGAACCGAAGCACAAAAAGAAGCATGAGACATGGTAGTCATATGTCTGGTGTCACAGTTTGGAGCAAAAAGCTTTCAGTGGTAAATAAATAACTTCCAACTGGGTTAGCTGCCTGGTGGTTTCTTCTTTTCGCTGAACATTTTAGACGTATAAAATGCAGAAACAACAGTTTGATGAACACTTGTGAACCACTGCCAAGTTTTATAAAACTTGACAAACAAACACTGTTGAAGTTCCTCTAGCCCATTACTGAGGACACCGCCATCCTGATTTTGAGATTTCTCACCCCAAGCATTTCTTTGTTCTTTTACTGCATGTCTATATACATAAACCCTGGGCACCATCAAGTGTTGTTGTGCACTTTAAACTTTATTTAAATTTTATTGCACTATCTTTGCTCCACATTAAAAATTTGAGCTTTATTTATGCAGATATATGCAGCTCTACTTCATTTAATTTTTGTTTCTTCATAATATTCCATTGTATGGGCGTACCACAATGCCATTCGGTTGTTGATACACATCTAGATGTCTCTCTCGCTGTCACAGGACTGCTATGAACATTCTTGTAGGTGTCTCCATGTTCACCTATGCAGGTTTCTCAGAGGGAACTACCTAGGAATGAGTGGAATGCTGAGTCATAGACTGTGCTGTGTGCGCATGCACCTTGATGGGCTGGTTTGTGCACTGAGTTGAAGGGGCCTCTACAAGTAGGGGTGCGAGTGCTCCGGGGGCTTCGACCCCACTGTTGAGAAGAAGAATCAGTATCAGTTGGAAACTAGAAACTTTTCTTTCTCTAATATTCCCAAAACAAAAACTCTGAACAAGTCAGTGCAGCAGCCAATGCTAACCCCGCAACCCCACTCTCTAGATGGTGGGTGGGAACAAGGAGACTCCTGGAGGTCTGTCACCTAGGGCCTCTGGGTGGCCACCCAGTCCTGGAGTCTGGAGGGTCTCTGGCATTAAGCCAGGGGCAGAGGATGAATTTTAAAATTCAGGATTTTTAAAAAAAAGATTTCATTTATCCACCTTTAGAGAGAAGGGAAGGGAGGGAGAAAGAGAGGGAGAGAGACATCAATATGTGGTTGCCTCTCATGTGGCCCCCACCGGGAATCTGGCCCACAACCCAGGCATGTGCCCTGACTGGGAATTGAATGGGCGACCCTTTGGTTCACAGGCTGGCACTCAATCTACTGAGCCACACCAGCCAGGGCAAAATTCATAATTTTTATTTTCATAATAAAATAGGAGATGTGGCTCTTACCCTGCATAGCCAAATATTATATAAACTATGTTTCATAGGTAACTATGTATATGGCCCATCAGAGCCCAAAACTAATATTTTAGAGTGTAGATTTATATAGAAGAGAAAAGGGAGAGGAAAGAAGAGTTCATTGATTACTTTATACAAGGCTTTCCACTGACTTGCCTTAAATAAACTGCTCCGACACACAAACCAGGTCTAAGCACTGCATTTAGGAGCCGAGAAGCTGCAGCCCAGCTGGGCTGTGTCACAGGCCACTTACCTGTGGCCTCGGTTTTCACATCTGTAAGATGAATGTGGACCCCAGTGATCACTAAGGTCCTGTCTAGATTTAAGATTTAAGATTTTGTGATTCTGTGATCTAGACTGGCAGCAGTGTGCTTTTCACACACATGCTGGCCTCCGATCTCATGGTAAACACATGTGCCCGTGCCCCTGCCCTCCCTGCCCCGTGGTGGCCATAGTCCCTGGCATCTTCTGACAGTCACCCAATCCTCCAGACAATATACATGCAATTCACCCGAGGCTCTGAGTCAGTCTCTTCTCATTTTGTTAATTGCTCTTGGAGCCAGTGGTAATTTTCCACCCAAGAGTTTCCATTTTTCTAGAGCCGATTGGAGGCACAGCCATTGCAGGAGCTCAGATCGCTGGCATCTGCTCGGCTCCCTCCCGGGGTGGATGACTGGCAAGGAGAGAGACACAGGAGGTAGCTGCGGATGGGTTTAGAGGGTTGGGCATTTTCTTGGTGTGAGCGTTGGGGAGCCGCCCCTGTGCTCCCCGCCTTCCTCTCCTGCAGGTGAGCCAGCACAGATGGTTTCTGATGGGAACATCAGCAGCTTCCCCAAGCCAGAGATGGAGGCAGGAGCCTACCTTGGAGGAGGTGGGAGGAAGCCAGTCTTGCAGGCTGGAAGCCAGACAGTGCCATGAAAACAAGTCTAGCGGTGGCCACTGTGTGATCAGGGCCCTGTGGTGGCTCGTCCTCTGCCGGGCGTGGTCTCCTCTCAGTGCAGCCTGGCCTGGAGCATGGTTTCCCTTCCCAATTTCCCACTGGCAAGTGGGTGCAAACCCAGGGATACAAACCTGGGACAAGCAAGGAGAAACCTGTCTTTCCAGCCAGAAACCAACCAACAAAATCTCTGTGCAGCCCCTTTTCCCTCCAGAGCCAGGCGAGATGAACCATTGAAGCAGCAGGTGCCGGAGGACCCCTTCCCAGGCTGGGACGGGAAAGGTGATCGCCATTCAGGCAGAGGCTTCGGAATAGGTGTTAGTGGCTGTGTATGAAAAAGTCACAGGCAACCCCTCACTCAGGGGAGCCCCAGGGATTCTGGGTAAAAGAAGGCACCCCTACTACTTCTAGCACCTACTTCATCCTGATCTAGGAGGTCACAATAACGGTGGTAATGAGAGAGTCAGCAGGCACTAACCACTGCTCTGCGCGCAGCCCTGAAGACACAGGCTCAGGGAAAGGACTGGTCCAAGATCTCACCACCTACAAGAGGAGGAGGGAGGACCTGAATCTGACACAGCTCTAACCCTAAAGTCCAGGCTCCGACCCAGGGGCCCAGGCTCTTTCTTAGAAAGGTAACAGACGCGAAGGCAGTAGCTTCAAAATGCTACCTGGAGCACTCTAGAGATCGTCACATAGCAGCCTGCAAGTCTTCAGGCAGCAGCCCCTCTCCTAAGTTTCTCTTCAAGGTGAACACCACTGGCTCTTTGAACCTTAGAGAGAGAAGCAGGCAGCAGCTGGAGAGAAGAGGGAGGGAAGGGTGTGGACTAGTCCTCACCCCCTTCTCACATCCTCCAAGCCCTGCTTCAGGGAGACCAACTTCCCAAGCACAGATGGAGGGTCTTTCCTTTCCTCGCTTCCCAGTGACGACATCGTGAGCACGTTCCAGATATGGCTGCAGCTGTGGGCCAGATCCAGATGGCCAGCAGTGGGGTGGCACTGACCCTGGTTCACCTGGGCCGGTTAGACAGGACAGCTATGCGGCTTTGCTCCTTCCTCCCCTACCCCTCCTCTGGGAAAAGGACAGAGCCAGCGCATTCCGTGGGGACCACAGGGTGGCTTTCACAACAGGAAGCCTCTGAGTGACCAGCTGTGGGGGCTGCCAGGGGCTGCATGGGACACGTGCCAGGAGGGGGATGGCAGGCGCCGAGTTGGCCAAGGTTAAGGACAGGGACAGGGACGGCTGGTGAAAGGAAGCCAGAAGGGGCGGGGATGGGCGGAGATTCGCACCTGGGGGGAAAAAATAAAAACGCTTATCTGTGTCTTCATTAAATTTATGCCCATCTTCTTTCTAAAACCATCTGGGTAAAATATCACTTATCACCCACCCCACAGCAGCACCATTAGCAAACGACTGGGGAAGACCCCTCCCCAGGGACCCGGCCAGTACATGGAGACTCCACCATGGAAGGCAGCAGGGGGAGAGTTGGAGCAACCTTTTCTCTGCGATAGGTCTGTGTGTTTCCTCCAAGAGATTCCTGTGGACAAATGCCCCGAGGGTGGCGGGGAGGTAGCTTTAAGTTTAATGGTTTCCGTTACACCTCCTTCTGGCCTGACTAGTGGATGAGGCATGGAGGTTACCTGCTGGAAGTGGACTTGAATGAAAGGAAAGTGAGAGCAGCAGGAAGCAGCTCAAGGCCTCTCCCAGTGTTTTCTAGCCGAGCAGCAGACAGGCTCCAGGCTGACTCTGGAGGCCCTGAGATGCGCCCCGTTCTGAATCGCCCCCAAAACAGGCCAGGGACAGAGGCAAGGAGGCAGGGATTCGACCTTGGTGAGTAAATTTGAATGCTTTTATTAACAATCTCCTTACATGACAAGGATAATATGACAAAAGGAAAGTTTCCGCGTACATATTATGATAAACCAACATAGCTCTATTTGTATCCAGTGTTCTAGGTCCCGTCACACAGGTACTATAAAGCGTAGTCTGCAAAATAATAACATCAAGGTTTTTTTTCTTTTTTAAGAAAGAAAGTATTAACATATTAATATGTATGTGATAATAGACTCCTAGGTATTTCACCCCACCCCCACTACATTTTTCCTTTATGATTGAAATGAAATGGTTCCGCCGCGTGGGGGTGGAGAGAAGGAGAGAGACCGGGGCTGAAAAAGGCTGAATCAGACTGCTGGCTCTTCCCGAGGGACAAAGTGAAGGCCGAGGGGTGCCGCAGGCAGCCTGGCCTCGTCTTTCTGTGAGCAGTGCTGTGACCGGCTGTCCTTGGACGGAGGGCCCGGTGCCCTTGATGCCCCGTGGCTGCTCTCTCTGAGGTACAGTGCATTGTGGGATTGCTGCCCTGGGGTGCCCATCCCCTGGCTGTGGGTCTGGTCCACCGCAGCGAGAGGAAGGCTCGGGCCGGGCTTGGCCTCTCTTGAGCCAGGCCCTGGAGGGCGTTCCAAGACCCGGTTGGCAGCTAGCTGTGGCTCAGAGACCCAGGCCGACTTGGAGGGAAGGGAGTGGGCACTGGCAGAACAGACCCACCCCGACTGCAGGTATAGGGTGGGTCTGCTGGAAACTGAGGTCCGCTGGTAGGATGGTGGGGAAGGGCAGGGCAGCGGGGCAAAGGGGGCTTGGAGACGGGAGAGCCAAAAGGCAGAGGCTGGTCTGAAGAACAGAGGACACGGCTGATGTCCTCCGCCTCCCTTCATCTGCAACCCCGCAGCCCCTCCTCCCCCACCTCCAGGGAAAAGCAACTGCAAAAAGAAACCTGGAAGTGAAATGGGCTTCTGATCCCGTCAGGGCTGCACAAGCCCTCCGTCATGGGGCATCCGGCTCAGCCTCTGCCTTGAGTCACAGAATCAGAACAGTGTATGTGAACTAAACCTGCCTGTTACAGTGGCGGTGAGGTGAGGGGTCAATAAGCCTCCATGCAGGAGAGGGAAGAGCATTGTCCTGAGTACAGCCAGCAGCAGCAGCTGTGCAAAGTGGGCTGGGCCAAAGCCCTGCATCTGAACTTGAATTGCTACTGAATTTATGAGTGTGCGGATATCTCTCTCCCACCCTTCCTGGTTAGCTGATGCCCCCTGCCCTGGCCAGAAAGCCTCTGGAAGGTGAGTGGCGCAGGGTGGCAATGCTCACGCTGCCCACTTCACTTCTCCAGTGCCCTGGCAGACAGTGATGGAGAAGGTGAGGGAGGCCAGGGCGCCGTACTTTGGAGGCTTGGCCTCTAGGGGCCAGTAGAAGCACACGAGGGGGGCTGGCAGCATCTTTCCTGGACCATTCTTGGTCCAATTTGCATCTTTCCTATGGCCGTCAATGCTGCTGATTCCTGGGGGCAGAGTATTTGGGGGAAATTGTGCAGTGGTCCCTACACTGTGGGTCGGTGATCACATCCCACTGCCAAGCAGCAGTGACCACCAACCATAGGCTTGCAGGGAGGGTGGAGGGGGTGTTTGAGCTGGAGCTCAGGGGGTGAGTATCTCCTTCCAACCTCAGACCAAGCCTGTAGGGAAGGAGAGAAAGTGCACGGAGAGGGCCGGGACCCAGTTCCTCTCCTCTCCACACCTCCGGGTAGGAGGCCCCGTTCCCAGCAAACCCTGCCTCCTGAGCTCCCTCATCTCCCCCTGCACAGGCTCTGCCTCCTCCCTCTTCGCACAACACAGGCTTTCCCCTTGCTCTCCCAGCTCTCTATAGACTCTATTTTTATATCTATTTAAAACATAGAAATGTATAAATATATAGGATATTATTTATAGATATATAGACGTGATTCAATCTCTTACTCTGTGTATACGTACTGCATATGTCCAAATATACAATATATACGCTGTAGCATTTATACACTGCACATACCCCTGCTTCTATGCACTCTCCTAGGGAGGCTGGATTGCATAGGTATTTCCAGGGCGATACCACTTGAAGGGATTGGGGTTGGGGGAGAGCCAGATGGAAGAGGAGGGCCGTACCATTTTCCTCCCCAAGGGCACTTTTTCTCCCTCTGGCTAACACACGAAGATCGCCTCAAAGGCTCCATAACATATCACAGCTCTACTCACTCAGGTAAAGCACCCAGAACAGAGAGCAGAGAGGGGCCTTCCTCCAAGCAGAAAAGGGGCCCTGCATGTCTCTTGATGTCATCTTCCCTCCTCAAGACCAGACTAGAGCCTAAGACCCAGTACAACCTCCAGGAGGCCGGTACCTGGAATGGAACTGTCCCAAGCTCACCTGCCCTCCCCGCTTGTGCTGCCCCAGGCTGGCCTGGCAGGGCTTGCCAACTGAAGAAGGGAATGGGTGTGAGGCCCAGTGAGTCTGGAGCTTTCCACCCAAACTGGGTGTTAGGGACCAAGAAAAAACACAAATTCTGCTTGGAAATCAACCCAGACTGTAAGCTTCAACCAGCTCTAGATACAGAATTCCTGCTCCTAGAGGGGATGGGAGGGAAAACGAAGGGTGAGGATCCTAGAAGGGAACTTCCCTTTCAACCCCCAGGCCGTCCCCTGGACCCCGTGAGGTTTCGGGTGAACAGCCACCGTAAAACAACTCCAGCCCCGCATCCCAGGCCGGGCCCTGTCTGCAGTCCACTTCAATCTCTCCATGATTGTTTCCAGCGCTCTACACGCTTTTCCCTGTTTTTTTTTTCTTTCCTGGTATCGCTTCTGAGCACATGGGAAGTATTTAAACCTTACGTTAAACAATTACAAGGTCCTTCCTCCAAATTAAAGGGTCAACAGGAACTAGTCAAGGGGAAGAGGGGGGCTCGGCAAGACAACTCAACATGGAAACACGGAGGAGGCGCTGGGGCCAAGCCCTCCCTCTGCCCTGGACTGAGGGCCCAGCACCGAACCCAGTTACCCAGGATCCTGGGGCTGGAGCCTGTTTTCATTCTCCAGCAGAAGGATGAGGAAATAGGAGTCCACCCAGCACTACAGAGTGGTGCCATTTGCCATTTAAAAAGGAAAAACAAAACCTGGCGTTTCAGTCAGATGCCTGTACTGATATTTAACCAGACCATCAAGACTTAGGGACTCTGACACAGCAAGACAGGACTGGGTGCCCTCAGGTTTCGCAGATTCTGTAGACGGCTATGGGTCTTTTTCCTCCACTGAGGAGGCCCGTGCCGTTCTCATTACAGACACTCTTGACCGCAAACCTGACCTCACTTCTCACACCTCCCAGAAGCCAAAGAAAGCCACTAATTAGCCAGCCCAATTAGGACAAGTCTCAATCCCAGAAACACAAACATTCTATTGTAAGCCAAAGGTTGTCACTCCTGAGCCCGGGGTGAAACCACCACATTTGGGATGCAAGGACCACCCAGCCAGTCTTCCGTGCCCTTGAAAGGGAAGTTAGACTAGCCAAGCATGTGCTTCCCCAGACCAGACCCCGAGAGTCCCATGAACCCAAGAGCCCTTCTGAAGGAGCAGAGAGTGGGAAGTGCCTGCTGTAGGGGTCACGGGCAACCACATGCCCCACTCACAGAGCAAAAGTGCTGAGCCCCCTGGGAGCACCCAGGCTGCGAAAAGCCCCTGCGTGAGTGGTGTGTCACCTCAATTTTCCCCTGGTTACTTCCCGTCCTAAGGCAAAGTGGCCTTCAGGGTGTCTGATACGGCCTGGCACCCGGAGTTGGAGAGGCGACTTTGCCGAACTTCAAGACCCTCCAGAGAGCTCATCCTTTCTGTTCTGGACCCTGGCCCAGCAGATGGCCCCAGGGAGCCACATGCTGCTAGCAGCAGCCCGTGCTCCCAGCTCTCTCAGAAGGTAGAGGGTTGACACGGGCATTGACCCAAGGATTTTCCTCCTGCATAACAACTGAGCTAAGTTTGACCGTGGTCTCTTGAGAGGACACGTTTGCAGCCCTGACTAGGTGCTCAAGCACATGTTCTCTTCCTGGTTTGTAAATGAGTAGCGACCTCTGATGGCCTCTCCACAGAGGGTCCCAAATGCAGTGGGTGGGGAGGAGTGACAGCTGGGAAAGAGAAGGCGTAAGGCATCTGTGGCTAGAAGAAAGGACCCCAACCTGCTGTTTCCACCCCGCCACCAAGGCCCCCTCGCCAGCCACCTCTGCCTTCGACCCATCTTCATCTGTGCGGTGGAGAGGAAGCTGGGGCGGGGAAGGTGGAGCTTTGTGCTTTGCAACAGTGTCCCACTTGACCACAGTTACTGACCCTGATGGTGGGGGGGGGGAGTGGAGGGGGTGGGTTAGAGGGAGGAGACCTCCGTTTAAAGTGGGGAAGTGGAGCGAGGCTTGGAGTTTCAAAGCCTCAGAGAGAGCTCTAGGCCGTTCCTTGCTAGTTCCTTCTCTCTCCTTCAGAGGAGGGTGGGGGAGTGCCTGCGGCCGGGGGAGGGGCCTGGGGGTTGAATGTCACCAGGTGGGGGTGCATTGATTTGTTGAAGAAGGCAGCATATGAGGCCTGGCAGTGGGACCCAGTCAGAGAAAACCAGGTTTTGTTTTTTGTTTTTTGAACATGCTACATCACTGTTGAAACAAACCAAAAAAGTTTCAAAAATAATATATAATATATATAATATATTTATATAATGAAAAGCTATCAACTAGCAGCAATGATTCTAAAGTTATCTTAGCACCAAGACCATGGGGTGGGGGGAGGGACCTGTGGGGGGTGAAGGGACTGGCAGGGTAGGAAGGGGGAGTGACATGTTCAGTGTTGATGACATTTCCACAATGGTTCTCTATGGTGGCATGAGTGAGGCCTCAGAGACAAAGTGAACCAAGGAGGAAGGAAGCCACCACAGCTTTATAGTGTCGGAGCCACGCGGGGTCAGGACGCTGGGGCCTGCCTGTGGCCAGATCACAACATCCTTTGCCCACACCTTCTGCCAACTGAGAGGGGTGGCTCCCTGACCACGGACGATGCAGATCCTCCTCCCTCCCCCAAATACGACCTGCACCCACGGTGAGGGGTCTCTGCATATCAGATATGCGTCAATCAGGTGTGGAAACATGAACAGGAGTTAACAGCTCATGCACATTTTTTTTTAAAAAAACTCCCTTGCGAGGTATACTGGTAGTTAAATGAATGAGAGAGGATTGATCTCACTCCTCTAGCTTAAACCACTACTTGCCCCAGGGAGTAGGCAAGTGGCTATTTCTAAAGCTTATATTGTGGTTGTATGTGGTTGTGTGTGTGTGTGTGTGTGTATGTGTTTGTGTGTGTGTAGGCTGATGCCTTGAGAGTCCTATTCTACTCCTTGCTTATTCCTTTCTCTCAGGACATCTCTACCCTGTTCGAAAACGGAAGCGTTCACAGGCGTGCGTGCATCACTCAGTCCCCCACTACCTTCCTGCCAGGCTGCAGGGCTGGCTATCAGCCTGTTGCAGAAAAAGGACTGAATCTCTAGCGACTCTCATTTGCATAATCCAGGGCACAACTTGCATTGACATCTTCTGCCACTGAACTACTTTGGGCATTTCCTGATTATTAAAGGAAAGCACATATTCCCAAACACATGATAAGATTATAAAGACAGAGTGTGAATAATTTATGTAAAGTGAATACATATTTTTCATTTTACTTGTTTTTAGCCAATAAATCGTTGCCCTTTGGGGTCTGGATTTCTTGGCTCTTCCTCCAACAGCCCTGGATCTGAATGGAATAAGATTATTTTACCCGACACCGAGTAAAAACAGGAATGCAAAGTGTTCACCTCCTCCCTTCCCCGGGGTTTCAAGCTTGGTTGTCAGGCAACTGTGCCTTCGGTATTACAGGTAATATCTTTAGGGTCCAGAGGCCTGGAAGGAGAAAATGAACAACCCAGGGGCGAGAGGTGGTGACAGAGGCGGGGAGTCACAGTTTGACTGACATACATGTCTAAGACGGTGAAGAAATGCTCATTGGGAAACGAACAAAATCTTTCAAGCTGAAGTCAGGGGGCAGAGACAGTCAGAACGCTGGATCCAGACACACAGCCCTCTCCAGAACCCTCTCCAGAACCCTCTCCAGAGCCCTCCCCAGAACCCGAGACTGCATTCAGCTGGACCAGCATGTCAGCGAAGAGGCTGAGAAACCCCAGCCTACAAGAGACCAAACAAGGGAGGGGAAGGCAGGAACATAAACCCCAACCCGAGCCTCCCACCCCCCGAACAAAAACGCGAACAAAACGGGCTACGTGAAGGTGATGGCAGAGACCCGTCATTTTAGCTTATGTTGTCGGCTGACCGTTAGGTGGGAACACGTGTGGCCTCCGCACATGCTTCTGTGAGTGAAAATGAGTTGCCACGGGTGTTGCAGCTGCCAAGTTTTGTAGACAAGAGTCAGTTTCTGACATTATTCCTTTCCGAAAGCTCCCAGTAGCTTCTGGTAGATGCGTCACCTCGGTTTTTAAAAAATTTTCAGTGTGGGTTTTTATATATATATATATAATATAATATATATTTATATAATATATCAAAGCTTATGAGTATAGATTTAAAAAATATTCAACAGCTTAGCGACCTCTGTGGCGCAGGCTTCCCTAAATGTCCGGGTAAAACTCTGAGCCGTGGTCCACGGCCTGCAGCACCGGCTTCTGCTCCAGTGCAGACATCCTGCTGAGGACCTCGGTGGACAGAGAGTAGCTGTTGCCGGACTTCTCCTCAAACCAGCTGTCCAGGGCCCGCTTGGCATCAAAGTTGGCAATGGGCGGGCCGTTCACGGCGATTGTCAGCAGGTCACTGAGCTGCTGCAGGGTCAGACGGGAGCGGTGGTTTTTGCGAACTCGCTGCAGGGCGTTTCGGCCTTTCTCGCAGCAGGCGGTGGAAGTGGGGAGGACCTTGAGGACCTGGATGATCTTGTTCAAGAGCGGAAACCTCTGTTTGTATTTGCAAACGTGGCCGATCAGGTCTTTGAAGCCATTTTTGGTATAGTAATCAGCCTTCAGTTCTCGCCACTCCATTAACAGACTCCCGCGGGGGTCCAGCCCTTCCCTACAGACATCCCGGGAAAAGGTCGGGATGGCTTCCAGGTGATCGAATATCTGGACCATATCCTCCTTGCCATAGCTCATGAGCTCCTCGCTGTTCCTGGGCCAGGCGGCTAGGTCAAACACCTGGCAGGCCTTCACGAAGATCCGGCTGCGGGAATCGAACCTCTGAGCCAGAATCACTTGGGTCTTCTGGCAGATCTTCTCCCTGATGGACTGGAACTTGGCTTCGGCCACCCTGAGGTTCTTCATCGCAATTCCATTGAAACTCTCTCGGAAATTCTCCTCGAACTCCTGCAGGTATTCCCCCGGGCAGTCGGCCAGCCGGCTGATCTCCTGGATGGCCTCCTCGATCTTGTCATCCACCTGGGACACCAGGAGGTACTGGCCCTGGAAGACGTAGGCCAGGCGTGAGAGCACAGCGGTCACGTCCAGAAGGAAGTAGATGAGCTTGATGGACTGGTAGTCCATGAGGAACTGCAGCAAGGCCAGTGCAATGGCTGAGGCGTCTGCCCGCTGGGTCTGGCTGCTGACGTCCTTGAGGTGGGCCACCACCTCCAGGTAGTCCTTGATGAGGGCATTGAGGACATTCTGCTCGCCGATGATCCACCTCACGGCCCGGATGTCCCCCAGGAACTCTGTCTCCTCACAGAGGGTGGAGGCCGTGGACCGCAGCTCACACATGAGTCGCGGCGAGTACCGGTAGAAACTCAGCAGCTGCTTCAGGTTGTTCTCCAGCTCCTCCAGGCAGGGGAGCTCCTTCCCGCTGATGGCGTCCAGGATTTCCAGGTGGGGTCGGTGCACCATGAAGGGCAGGCACAGCAGCCAGGGCAGCGTCTTGCGGATCGTCATGAACATGCTGGCACGCAGGCTGGCTGTGATGTTGGCCCCGTCTACGCCCAAGCCAACGGTTGGCTTCTCATCCTGCAGCCGGATGCCCAAGGCAGAAAAGGCTCGATCAAGTGCCTGGAGATAACTCTCTGTGCTAGAGAACCCCAGTTCCTGCAAGGACAGGAATTCTGTGGCCGGGGGCCCATCACTGCTGGTGTACTGGACATAGACAGCCACCGTGTCGGCCAGCAGGTCATCGCTCTGCCCATCCAGGATGATGCTGAGGCAAGGCGACTGGCGGATGCGCTCCACCAGGTCTTCCCTCAGTGCCCGGGCGATGTGATGAATGAGGATCTGGCAGTCTCCCTCGTTCATGTACTGGTCCACCACCTTGAGCTCACACTTCCTCAGGAGCTCAGCCAGGGGCCGGAAGTCCAGGTAGGGCCTGCCCTCAAGGGCCAGGTGGTAGGCGGTGTTGAAGAGCAGGGTCATGTTGCGGCACATCTCCTCCGTCTTCTCGGGGTGCATGCGGAGCTTGTACAGCTGCAGGCACTTCTTGTGCAGGTTGCTCTGGCTGTGCAGTTTGATGGTGTGGATCTTGAACTGCTTGGAGCCGATGATGAAGGCCGAGGTGCGCGAAGACTGCACAGTGTACTGGCGGCAGACGTGGCACCACATCTCGTTGAGGGTCGGGGAGTACCGCAGGAACCAGAACTTCTTTAGCCACTCCTGCTTGAAGCGCCGGATTCGGCGCCCGGTGGCAGACGACATCTTGGAGGGCTCATCGGTGGCGGTCATCATATCGTTGGACACGGATTCATCTGCTGAATCAACCTCCTGGTCATCGTCCTCCATGATGGCAGGGCCAGAGACCATGCTCTCTGAGGCTGGAAGACAAATGGGAAAGAAACATGGACTTTTCTAAAGCGAACAGGAAACACTGCCCGGAGGGTAGGTGCTGCACCATGCAAAACATAAGCCAATTCCCACAACAGTTGAATCCCAGCCTAGAATTTAATTATAAGCACTCTCGTTGTCTCTTCGTGATTTCCCTCTCTGTGGATTATCCACGGTGGCCACCAGGCTCCAGGCTTCCCATCCTTGCTCTCCACCTAGTGGGCGCTCAGAGAACTTGTCTGTTCAGTGTCAACTGACTGGCACAGCTGGGGGAGGAAGAAGCACATGGAACATCCACAAGGAAGAGAGTGAGGGCATGGGACTCGACTGTCCCACCACCAACCTGGTCAGGGGTGGCATGCTACCCTCAGATGAAGGCAGCTTTGGCATGGCCCCGGGTTATTTCAGGATCGGGACGCAGTTTGATTCAGATGCATGCTTTGATGATCTGAAACACCTCATTCTGAGCTAAGGGTCGTGGTTAAAATACAAAGTGCTACGTAAATACTCTAAGTCAGCTGCAGATGTACACTGAAAAGTCTTCCTCGTTGTCAACCAGCTCTAAGACATCCAGGCAGCCACAGAAACAGTCAGAAGCATGCAGATGAATTCCGGGGATCCAGGTCCTTAGAAGGACGTGACAGGGAGATGGGACCCTGTGGCGGAACAGCAGGTTGGGAAGAGAATAATGAGGCTGAGTATCCGGATTGAGTTTGGGAATGCCAGGAGCTCTCCCTGGCAGGACACAGGACAGCCTGCTTGGGACTGGGCAGAAAGATTGGCTTTAGAAGTTGGACTTTGGGGTCAGACACCACTAGGACCACCAGAGAAAGGCAACCGGTCAAGAACACAGCACACACCCCTCCTGCAGCGGAATGTCCTTTATTGATGAGGAGAATACAGGGGAAGACAGGAGGCACCCACTAGAGCTGCAAAGGTCAGAGGCAGGCACCTGAGGGCGCGGGCTGCGGCCAGAGCTCACCTCTGTGTCACACGCCTCGGGTTTCCCTACAGGTGACTCCAGCAGAGAGTGCCAGGCCACTCTCACGCGGCCCGCCGTGTGCTCTTCTGTCTGACAACATCTCATCCACACCAACTTACCTGCAGGGTCTGAGAACTCTGGGAGCTCCAGTACCTGTGCTGGCAATACGGGGGGCTCAGGAAGCTTCCCAGACTTAAGCATGTCTAGTTCTGCCTGGAGTTCTCGGACCTTCTTCTTTAGGCGAATACAATTGGGGCAAAAGGAGGTGGTGGGAAGTTCGTGAAGGTCAGACGCAAGGGAGGCCTCGGCGGGACTGTCAGCCTTGAATGACGAAGGCTCCTCTTCTTCATCCTCCAAAGGTCCTGGCTCTGTAGAAGCAGCCCCCTGGGGGGTCTTCCAGTCCCCTTCCCCCTGGGTCCGGCTGATATTCTGCATGTCATGAGACACAGTCATTGCGCACCGACCGTAGGCTTCACCCTGGTATTTGGGAACCTTCCTGATGACCAGCGAAGTGCTCAGTGCCAGCTGGTGTGCTTCTGCCTTTGTGGATTCCAGTGAGGCCTCCAGCACATCCTTGAAAATGAGGTCAATTTTCTTCTTCTTGGTCTGGGGGTGCATATCCCCCTCGTCAAAGCCACGCTTGTAGGGACTTTTGCCCTGTCTCAACACGGGGAGATGAATGGGGCCCCTCAGGTCCTCTGGGCCATCCAGAGCCTGCTCAGCCTTCTCCCTCTGCAACCGCTTCTCTCCTAGGAAGGAAAACCAGGGTGTGAGGACGTGGGGAAAAGCCCCAAGTGGAGACACAGGAGAAAACAAAGCAGGCCTCCGTGGAGGAAGTCGCTTGACACATCCCTCTGGGTCTAGCCTCACGGGGCATGCGCGACAGAAAGGGAGAGGTGGATCACTCAGTCGATCATGGGGTCACAGGACACCAAAGAACAGGAGGGACTCTTTTTAAAGAGACTGTTTCCATGGAGCCTTATATATACAAGTTCTACATTTATTAGTTGAGAGAATGCTATAGGGGAGGGTAGTTGGAAGTTCTGTAAAAGGTTCTTGCCATCCTGTCACCCTAGAAGATGACCTCTTACTCGGTCACATGGGTGGGTGGTGACACTCCTGAGAACTAAGTGCAGACGGATGCCCCACCCCTCCAGGCTGGCTGCTCATCCAGGCCTAGCAATTAATTAGATGGCTGCTTCGACTTGGTAAAAGGTTCACGTGAAATCTCGAGTCCCATCCTTCCTCTTCACTCACACAGCCCACTTAGGGCACAGTCCGCCTGTAGCAGCTCCCCTTTCTCATTGTCCTGGTAATTGGGAAACTAGGAGTACGTGAGAAAGTGTGACGATTAAGGCTAGGCAGGAGACATGCAAGACAGGGACGGCTTCGGTGCCTGGGGCTCCAAGATGGCCGCCCCCTGCGAGGTAAAGAACAAGTGACCACATGGACCCAAAGCATGCTCAAAATGCAGCTGTTTCTTCACCCAACAATGCAAAGAATGTTTCCTTTTCTATTTCTTTCTATCATGTAAGTGATCTAAAATACCTTGGTGAGCTCCCCAACAATAAATTATTTTAGCTGGATTCTTTAAAATGGCTGACACAGTTTCATAAATCGCTAAAGAAGTGTGAGTGCCCCCCAGGGGCACAGATGCTAAGGGGGAACCCTCAGAAGATCCTGAAAGCAGCCTGTGGAGTTAGGAAATCTTCAGGGCATCCTAGGTCAGGGGCGGACCCTGGGAGATGTGACCTGAGCAAGGACTTAACCTATTCACATGTTGTCATTAGGCTTCTGTTAGCTGCATTTGCCACCCTTGGCCACTGAGGGAAGACCAAGGGATCTCCATGTGCAAAGCAGGTGGTCCACGCTGTGACTGAGCCTTGGCTTCCCACAGCTGGCCCACGTGGGACTCCAGATTCCCTACAGGTAATAGCACAAAAGCAAGGGGATGCCCCTTTTCTGCCTTCACGTGAATGCTTAGAGCACGATATCATCCGCAGCCTCCTAAAACCCAGGTGAATCCCCACAGCTTGCATTTCTCTAATAGCTGAGGGGCACAGAGGGTGGGGATGAACAGAGCTTTTTTAAAAAATGCAATGTGTTTGCACAGATTAGATATGACACTTGCCCATTCAGAATCTCTAAAGGGCCACCCTTTCACTTTCTTGTGGTCCCATCAGGCAGCAGGCACCTGAGGATGTCTGGAGGTCAAGAGTACTCATCGCCACAAGGAGATCTCTCTGGATTCAAGACTTCTAGAAAAGTCTGTGGGCCAAAAAAGATCTTGAAGCATTAGGAAATTGATTCTAAAACCTCCGTAAAACCTGGGGAAAGCACCACAAAGTAAATCAATGACTCAAAGTACATCAAATAACGTAAATTCTTTGAATATACACATTAGGGGCATCCTATTCTTAAAAGATAACCACAAAGAAATAATTTATACTCTCTTCAGGAAGCAGGACTAATAATTCACGTACTGGCCTTTATCAGGGCTCTGGCCTCCAATTACAAAGAAGCCTCCTCCCATGTGAGGCCTTAAGTGATTGAGCACGGGGGATCCCCCTTCCCCAGCAGGACCAGAATGCAGGTCTAAGACACCACCACCCCTTTCCAGCATCTGCCAAAGCTACAGGCTACAGAGACACTGCGTCTAAAAGCCAATGAGCTCCAGATTGCTTGCTCCCAAGGACTTTAGGACCAAGCCCACCTTCTGCGCTAGCCCTGCCCCATGGTGGCTTCCTTTTTTCTTCCTGTTTCCTAGTCCTCAGCCTGGCCAGAAATAAACACTCCCTCCTCCTGTACTTTCACATGTCTAGGTGTATTTCATGTCAAGTCTGTCTGCCATGCTACCTTGAATCACACCTGGAAGCTCACTCCCTTCTCTGAGCATTTCCCTTGGGTCTCAGGGCTCTCTGAGGATGATGCAGCTTGAGGTGCTTTGAAGAAGACTCTGGGGTGGGGTGGGGAGGACATTACAAATCCAGAAGAATTCAAGAAGATTATGGCCAAAGGATGGAACATGTGTCCTCAGATATGACTTCTGGTTTCCTTTTCTTCTGGTGATATGATTCTTTTGGAGACTTCTTGACTGTCTTCATTCATTTCTTCTTTTATCCAGTCAACAAAGATTGAGCACCCACTACACATCAGATGCTTTTGCATGAGGCATCTCCAGATGTCAAATGGAAACCATGGCAATCTCATCATAGAAACAGGCCTTCCCAGGTGAAATCAGCAAGTGCCCAGCCCCAGGATCCAAAGAGAACAAGAGATAAATATGTCTATCGGGTCTCCTCTCACTGCCCATGCAATCACCAGATACCTTTTACCAAGTCAGGCAGCCACTGTCCACAATCTGCTTTGTTGGGTTTGTTTTTAAAGATAGCTTAATTTCAGTGGGCCACTCCCACCCCTTCTCACCTTCTCTACTCACTTTTATGATGAGTGGGGCACGGGGATAGCTGTGCTTCCTGGGACCAAATGAACTCTGGGTCCTTGGCTGTACGGTTTTAGTGTAAGGCAGGTCCCATGGAAAGGCAGGGGTCAAGGACCTGCACTCATCAGAGTGCCCTGGCCAGGTTGAGGGTAGAGTAGAGAGGCAAAGGCCTAGGGACTAGGAGTATTTTAAGCCACTTTCAAATGACTCATTTAAATGGAGCCTGGATGGATATCTCACCCACCAGGCCATCGTCCACACCAAAAGTCACCTCCCTCCAACCTTCTTGTTCTTAATAGATACTGTCCTTTCACAACATAGCATTGGGACTTTTAGGAGTAAACCATGAGGAAGCAGGAAAAAACCCAGTTCTGTCTGGGAGACCACAGAATATTATAGGTTAGAACTCAGACCCTGGACTCAGTTGTGAGTTAGAAACCCAGCTCTGCCCTGCCTCCCCACACGACCCTGGGTGAGTCGCTGTATTTATCTGATGCCCAGCTGTCTACATCTGTAAGATGGGGATAACCATCCACATGAGTCATTAGTACTAACAGTCTACCATGGGAGGCTTACAATGGTCAAGACAGACACCGTTCTATATGCGTGTTATCCAACCAGTTCTCTCAGCACAGGTACAGGGCGGGGGCTGCTGCTGTCATGACTTCATGGGCCGCCACGGAACACCAGCTTCGTGCATATTAAGTCCTTAGTAAGTGTTACAAAGTACTGCAGCAGTGGCCCGGCCATTTATAATATCTTTCCATTAATTTGAGGGGGAAATAAGATCCATCTTTATTGAATTTATGGACATGGCTTTGGGGTCTTGCCTCTCTCCCTGATACGCTGACATGTGCAATAACACATTTATATGTAATAGGGTTTCTGAGATGGTTTCTCATGGAGGATAAGTGGTACCCAAGGCCCTGCCCAGAGCTGCTGCTCAGACCTGGACCATCTGTTTGCCCTCTGGGTCTCCCCCTGGGTGGCGTACTGTATTTCCCATCTGTTTTCTTCAGACGCTTCTAGAGAAGCATGCCTGGCTTCCCTTGGGGCTCAGCGGCAGTGGGCATGGCCCTCACTTAGAGGGTGGGCACTCACCTCTGGCCAGGTTGCGATGGATGGTCTCCTGGGACATGCTGTGTAGGCGCTTCATATAGTCCTCGCTATACCAGACCCGCAGCCGCTCCCCAGGCCGGATGTCCCGGCACGTCCGGAAGTAGATGTGCTCACTGTGCTGGAAGGCCAGCAGGTTCTGCTCCCTCTCCTCCCGGGAGATGACCACATACCTGGAGGGACGAGGGGGACAGGGGAGAATGCATGGGTCACTCCTTGATGGAAGCCTGCTGGTACTGGGCAGTGTGGGGCCTGTGACAGAAGTTAAAAGTCCACTGGTACGTGGACTTGTGCAAAAGTCGACAGGGCAGCTGCCCCACTGAAGAAAGGGCCACCAGGGAGAGTTGGTCTGCTGTCTCAACATCACTATTTTGTGTGACCTTGAGCAAGTTTCTGAACTTTTTAGCATCTCTGTTTTCTGAGACTGGGAATGACACCATCCCTGCCTACCTCCCAGGTTCTGCTAAGTATAAGATTCAACACCAGATAAAAAGGTGATCAGAAAACTGACGGATCCTCTACTTTCCATTAAACTTTAACCACAGGGACCTCCGATTGTGGTGAGGGTGGGTCTTGAATGGTTTTCAGCATCTCACAAAACCTAGCAAAAGTAACCCACATGACAAGGGTGCCCAAGAGACCAAGAAACATATGCTAACGATCCAAATCCTTAAAAATAGGGGGTCCGTGGGGGACAGAAGAAAAAGCCAAGGAAAAATTGGCAAATGCTGGTTAATCTAAGTTATTTTAAGATAAGGAAACTGAGGCTCAGAGAGGCTAAGTGACCTGCCTATGGTTACACAGCTAAAAAGATGGAGATGGGGCTTTGAGGTCAACGTTTTCCCCACAAGAACTCACAGCTCCTATGTAGGCACCTAAAGTGCCCTCTCTGCAGTGCCCAGATAACCTTTAAAGTTCCGTCACCCTCAGAAGCTGTGGCCCTCACCCCTTCACTCTGAAATGACAGCCCTCGCAGTCCACCTGCCACCTCACTCACCTCCAGAAGGTGAGATGGCACCACATCTGCAGAGGGGGCGGGGGTGTGTAGATTAAAAGGGCAGGAGGACATTATTTGGAGTTTTAGGGTTCGGGCTATACCAGTGTCTAGGAAATTTGTAGTCAAAAACAAACTATTTTTTTCTTACACTATGATGATTAGTCTCAAACACCAGGGAAGAAACCAAAGTCTGCCCAACCAGCAAGGTCCAAACAATTATCTTTGGAGCGGTCAGGAAGACAGTAATTCACAGAAAACATCCAAACAGATAATGAACACGTGAAAAATATTCGGCATCAGTAATAAGAAATGCAAGGCAGCGCACTGTCTCATTGGCATGGATTTTTTTAAAGTGATAGCATCTGTGTTGGCTGAGGTGTGAGGAAGAGTCTATACCGATGGTGGTGAGTAAACTGGCACCACCACCGGGAACCATTCGGCCACAGGGACTAGAGGAGCAAATGTCCCTCCATGACCCCGGTGGCAGTGTCACAACAGTCACAAGGCAGAAGCAACTCATGTATCCTTGGGTTGCTCAACGGGAAAACTCAGTGAGAAAACTCAATGAAACATGGTAGAGATGCAACAAACATTCTTCCACCATAAAAAGGAAGGAAATTCCGACATGTGCTACATGGGTGAACCTCGGTGACACACGGTGAGTGAAATGAGCTGGTCACCATCCAAGAACCACTGTATGGTCACATTCACATGAAGTGCTTACAGGAAGGAGTCAAATTCACAGGGACAGGAAGGGAAATGGTGGTTGCCAGGGGCCAGGAGCTGGGGTGGGGGAGCCAGTCAAGGGGGCTTCATATTTAATGCGTAAGAAGTTTCAGGTGGGGAGATGAACAGTTCTGGAGAAGGGAGGTGGTGACGGGGTTGCGACGATGAGAATGTGTTTAATGCCAGAGACCTGTGCACTTAAAATGGTTAAAACAGAAAATTTGATCTTACGTGGATTTTGTCACAGCTTTGGAAAATTTTTTTAAAAGAACGATAACATGTGGGCCAAATACACAAACTCTGCATACACGAACTGCCTAAATATCATCTATGATTGTGCAAAAACAAAAACGTTCGAATGTCTAATGCTACAGAAATAATTTAACAAACCATGGTGTAGTCATATACCGAAATGTTACTCATCTAGAGAAAAGTGTTTTCAAAGGATCCTTCATGACATGGAAACTTGGTCCTGAGAGATAAGGCACCGAGAACAATAGGTCTGAAAGCTATTTATTCTACGCTCCCATCACGCTTTAAAAACAAGCCTCAGGACACTACCTGAAGGAAATATACAAAGTTTTAACAGTGATTATCCGTTACAGGTACATCCACTTCTTTCTGAGTTTCTGTACCTGCCATGTTTTCCTTAGTAAGCGATTGTTAATGTTAGTCCTGCTCCCCCGCAAAAGAAACAAAGTGCACGGGTGCCAGTTCCAGTGTGACTGGCAGTGGTGGCCTTCTCGGTGGCCAACAGCATTGGGATCACGTTCCCAGGGCTCCGAGCACAGCCCCCTTCCAGTGCCCCCTGCCCTTTCTCATCTGGACAGTCCCCTGTCCATCTGTGCACTCCACTCTGCTCAGCCTTGCAGGACGCCATGGCGAGGGCAACCGCTCAAGCCCAGGGACCAATCCACTACAGCAACAGGATGCAGCACGACCAAGAGGACGGGAGAGAGCACACTGGCCTTGGCTGCTTCACCCGTTTGAGAGAAGCCAGTCAGGAGCTCCCCCAGGCGGGGGTGGGGCACGCAACACTCATGGCGCTCAGACCCGTGGATCTTGCTTTTGTCCCGGATCTTAGCGTTAACACATCTGTATTCTCCTCGACATCCGACAGGAGTGTGGGTCCCCCTGAACTGTGAAGACAACACTGTGACCTCTGGGACACTCAGTCACATTGTTATTAACAAAGAATTCAGGGAAAAGAAAAGAGGACCCCCTGGCCCAGAAAACCCTTTCTGGATTAATACTTCCCAATCTCAGCTCTCCCAATGCAGGAGTCTGCCTTTTCTCCATACCTGAGATGTCTTCTGAGTGTGCAAAATATTTTCTCGTCCCCAATTTAGCATGAGTTTTGAATTTGACACCCAGAATTAATCAGCCCTGCGGTTAGCACGGAGCAGAACTGAGGTAGATTCAAACTTTCCTACTCCCAGGTACAGGAGGCAAACCATCCATTCATCTTTTTCTTCACGGGAATCACTTGCAAGAAAACAGTCTTCTTCTTCCTCTTTTTTTTCCAGTTTCTAAATAGCCATCAAGCTCTAAAGACTGTAATTATTCTTCCCTGGCACTCAACTTCCAGAGAAAAAGAGATAAAGAACATGTAACTATCAGAGATTTATTCTAAAGAGCGATTTCTAAAGTCAGAACGTTTAGAAGGATTCAAGTCAATTTCTCTCGCCCCTTCCCGGTGTTTTCCTACCCAACGAGAATCAATTTTTAGGAAGAGAACCGCGAATCTTTGTATCGATCACAAAGGAGCTTCAAAGAATATCAGAATTTGTTCCGCATCTGGTTGTCTTTGGATGTTTTGAAAGTTGGCATTTGAAATACGATGTACATGACAGCTCTTGCTGAATCAGAACAACCCACTCCCCCGAGAAGATGATCTTGCTACATGATGTCTGAGATGGAGCCAGCTGCGTCTCAACATCGATTACCGTACCTCAGCGAGGTCTCACCCTTTTAGGTGTTTCACAGCATCGCCCAGTGGCTGACCCACTCCCAGAACCCCCTGTCCCCACACAGAATCCCTTTATGAAGACCCATGCCTGTCCCATCCCATGGCCGAAGGTGAGCCAGAGCCCTCCCCAGAGGAGGTCCCTCCCCTGTTGGAGAGAAGGCGCAGAGCATGTCGGGAGGGGCGTGGGAAATGCCTAACACGGGCTACTCTGCCAATGTCGGTGCTGCCACTGACAGTGCATTTGATAGCATTTCAAATCAAAGCCACAGAGTCGGGGACTTCAGAAGCTGTCAAGGGGGTGGGTGGTAGTGGGGATGGGATACGGTCTGGACTGAACCTTTCAGGATGAGAATGGACTGTTTTTATTCCGACCTCCTTGTGGACTCTGGGGACAGGACAGGACCCTAAGACCACACTTCTCAGATGTCACCCACTATGGCTTGTTGAGTGAACCACATTTTCTAGCTGGGTCAGGAAATGACTACCAGTTCTAACTTAAGAGAGAAAATAAGCCACGGGGCATCCATCGTGTTGGAAGGGACAGGCTCAGATACTCCGTGGCTATGTCTCTGATGGCAAGGAAGCTACACTGTTCGTGGAAGGAGAAATGAGAAAAGACTCACCAAGGAGAGAGTGGGTTCTGTGGTCCCACATGTACTTCCATCTCTGGACTGGGAGGGTCTTTGGATCATGCATCCACCCAGCAGATGGTCACTCGGCCTCTGACAAAACATCCCCCAGCCGGCCCCTGGCGTAACTGGAGGCTTCAGACTCTTAGAGGAGCCTTTCCTACCTCCAGCTGAAACTGGCTGCCCGTTCATCCCCACCTACTGGCCCCATTTCCCCTTCCTGTTTTAAAGTATTGGCCCCACAATCCCCACTGAAGCCCAGAAAAAGAAACTAAAATCTCTTCCATCCAAAGGTGACCAGTCTTTTCATCTCTCTGTCCCCTTTGCTTCCAACTTGCCCCCTTCCCTCCCCCGGACCAGAGGGACAGGCCAGTTGGTCGCTGCTTAGCACCCCGACTTTGGTGAGAAAGACCCCAGGCCTGGTTTCACGCCATCTTTGCATCTCCTGGAAACTGTATTATCTTGATTTCATGGCCATGCTTTTTGGCCAAGAACAGCAAAGGATGACCTAGATTCCAATGGAACCTTCCAGAAAGGGGATGTATCCTTGGTTAGGACCTGGGGATTTCCTGCTGGAGAGAATCTCCCCATGTGACTGGCACTAAAGCCAAGGCAATGCACCTGTCAGGAGGCCCCCCGTCTGCTTAGGAGACCCCCCAAGAGGAGCCGGGGGAAGCCACTTCTGCTCTTTCGAGAAGCCTCAGCTCTAGGCGGGCAGGGTCTTGCCTGTGACAGAGATGCCTGCACAGTGGGGAGGTGGCCAAAAAAAGGTCAGGCCCCAGGCTGGTGTCTGGGGTATTTGGCAAACTGGCAGCACCTGACCCTTCTGGATGGTCTCCTACCAGAAATGGT